ACCTATAATTGCCGGGTTGGTTTCAATTTTTTTCTCCGACGTAGACCACTCATGCCAATAAATGATTTAACTGTTTATTCGAAAATGGGCATTTAATTCTTTCATAATCTAATGCGAATTTTTTGAATTTGAAAGAAAAAAAAAATAAAAAAGAAACAATTTTGCTGAAAATTTCACGGTGGGAAGAGTCGTCGGAATATTTCAAGTGGCCGCAAAAAAATATAAATTATATTTAGTATATACTAAAGAATTCTTCTTATTCTAAATTAATCACATGGATTTCGTCAGCCTTTTAATTTATTCTTTTGTAATTTGAGAATCGTAAAAAAAGATAAATTTAAACTCATTTTATTTATAATTCATTTTTTTAATGTAACGACTAACAACTTGTTGACTCAAGAACTACTGGCCTTAATAACTTGTTGAGTTTGAATCACTGGCCCAAAATACTTAAACCAAGTTGTTCAGTATTAGTCTCTAGTTTCTTATAAGTCTAGAATTTTTCCCGTGTTTTGTCAATATTAGCACATTTAAACTTATAATGACATAATATTTAAATCTCTACAAAAATATAATAACCTTATCAAATTTTGAAAATAATGTTTTAAAACTTGAACCAATGATCAGACTAGTAAAAGCCACCATGTCACAGTTCAACTAGTTTGATTGTCAATTAAACTGATTAATGATAAAAAATTTAATAAATAAATAAAATTAACAAATATATTATTTAATTATAAAATAATAATATATTTTTATTTCATAATAAGTCTGATAAAATTTAAATTAAGTAAATTAAAATATAATTTTCAAGTAATGATATAAATAAATTATTTTAAATCAATAAAAACTGTTTTAATAAATTTGTCCAAATTAACTGGTTTTATTACTTCTAGACTAATTTTGACTGATTTTAATATATTAAAACCTAAATTCAGTTATCAATTCTCATTTGAATCATTTCTTGGATCAAGTCACAGTTAAATCAATTACATCAGCCAATCTAACCTGCGTTTTAAAACATTGATTGAGATGAACACTTGACTAAAGTAAATATAGCCAGCTCCCTCTTTCTCAAACAAGGCCAGAATTTATGTTTAGGATATAATTAATGAGATGGGTGACCGTTAATCATATGTAAAACAACAAAAATTAGCAGAAAAACATGATTACGCCCTTTTTTGGCATAATCTGGATTAGCCTGTCCGTTTGCCACTGTCAATTGTCTTAAGAAAATGACGGTTGTTCGAGTGGAAGAGCTGACGAAACCCAATGTATATATGACGTCAAAATTAGGAAGAAAAAGGGGGGAAATATCTTAGTTTTTGTTGCTAAGTCGTTGTTTGGTTGCAAAACAAGAAGATTAGTTGTCACTTCAGCCAGCTTAAATGGCCCCAAATGTCTCTCGGTTGAACGCATTTGGTAAGTACATGAAAGGGATTAGCATTTTACCTCTTGCAAAGAAGCACAAACATCGAGCTTCAATCAATCATCATTGTTGAGGTCAGCTTGCTACATAATTAGATGTTTACATGACATGCTAACAAACTTCGGCTGGGCAGTATTCATTATTTGAAAGTGAAATTTAAGGGCGTTTTAATTGTGTTACAAAATGCAATTATTATTTTAATTTAATTGATAGGGCAGCATATGTAGTGTCTGTTTGCTTTAAATATTTTTCATGGGTTTTGCTTGTTTGCTTTACTAACTTTTTATTATATTTTTCTTTAAATTTCAGATAAAAATAATTAAAAGTAGAAGTATTTAAACTTCTACTTTTTATCCCTATTGGCATAATTGTAAATAATTAAAATTTTTATAAGACAAATATATTATAATATTTATTATAATTTTACTCTTATCTAAATCAACAAGGATATTATCCAAATCAATAAAAAAAAATTATGTAAATCAACAAAAATATGGGCAGAAAAACATATTTATTCAACGTCTCTTCCTCTCTATCCTATGCACACACTAATCTATTCCGTTATTGTGCAAGCAACAAGTCAAAATCAAATTTATATTTACCACTTAAGAAGTTTTACTTCATAATCATATGTATCACCTTTTAAAAGAATAAATAATTTAAGTGTTTTAATATAATAAGCAATTACTACAATTGTTTTATTAAATATTTATTTTCAACTTTTGCTAGTTTTTTAGTAAAATTTGTAAATATATTCAACTTGCATATTTTTTATACTTATTTAACTATTATTATTTTTCAACACATCATTGAAAATAATAGCTCATTTAAATGGCCCATAGCCTACTTACTATATATATTAGATAATTGTTTTTAATTTTTTAATTATAAATATTTTAATTAATTTTAATTATCACGCTTACCCAACTCACTGCAAATGATTATATTCACATCTATTATTTCTAATTTATTTATTTATATTTTATATTTACTTTAATAGTTTTACAGATGTGCCATGCATGCAGTTCAATGTTGGTTTTAGGGGATATAATTAAGTCCTTTTTCAAAGGGGAAGTTGTGGCTTCCTACATATGAGATGAAAATCAAAAAGCTACTTGTGGAAAAGTAAGCTTTTTACTATAGATTAAGTTGCTAAATGAAACCGAAAGCCCCTAGTTAGGTTACACAAGCTTGATTCCATGAAGGAAAAACGAACAAATGCTAACTTACACAGAAAGAAGTGAACGGATAAAGTAGAAAACAATTAGGAAACAGATAAAGATGCAAAGGTTAGGTTTTGTAACAAAAATATGCTATTTTTAGAAGGGATGACAAAGCCCTTTTAACACATGCATATTCTTCTGCTAAGGTATATAATCCCATGATGGGTTGGTATATCCTTCTAAGGCCACGTGTCTCACACTTTCTACATGTACACAAAATTTTCTTTTTTATTTAATTGAAATTGTGAAAATTACCATAAACTTTACTAATTAAATATACTTTAAAATTGAATTTTATGTTTTTCAATAGATCCTTTTCTTAAGCAACCCTAAAATAGAAGCTAGAAGCTTGCTAAATGGACACGCTGACATTGTGAATATATATGTAAATACAATGATCTTGTAACAAGTATCAAAATTGATTTTAAGATATTAATACTATAGTAGTGTGATTTATGATAAGTATTTTTCAAAGAGGTTGGTCAGTTGATGAGAGGACGTGAACTTTATATTCACTAGAGTATTAAAGATTAGAATACATAAGTGTGTTACAAACTGTTATTAAATGAAATGAAAGAAAAAGAGTGATCATAAATAAAAATATATTGTATATTAAGACAAGTGTATTTAAAAATAATAATAATTCCATGAAACTTATCCTTTCCTCCTCGTGGGAAAAAAGATAAATGGCCGATATTCATTATTTTTCTTGTTGGCCAAGCCATTGCCAAGCTATGTAGTCAATTAACAATTTTATCCAGCACGAACCCAAGTTTAATTGATCGATCAGAATTGTTTTTGATCAATTATCATTAGATGTTGTAAGCACGGTAACGCGCCAGGATAGCGCGTGGGCTGGAGGTCGTCGGGAAACATTTTGTGGCCCGAGTCTTCTACTTCCAAAAATAAATGGCTGATATTCATTATTTTCTTGTTTGCCAAGTCATTGCCAATCTATATAGCCAATTAACAATTTTTTCCTGCACTAACCTAAGTTTAATTGATCAATCAGAATTTTTTTTTAATCAATTAAAATTTAACCATTAGATGTTGTAAGCACTGTCACGCGCCAGGATAGCGCGTGGGTTGGAGGCCGTCGGGAAACATTTTCTGTGGCCCGAGTCTTTTACTTCAAGTGTTATCTACCACCACCACCACCAACCAAAATTTGCGAAACCCCACGCTCCCTCTCGCCCTTCCCACCCCGGGTTTTGCCCACGTCATCCTCCAGCTCAGCGCTCTGACATGTCAGATCTGAAATCTCCATTGGCCTCCACGTATTCGGATGGACCCCAATGGCCACGTGCAATGGGCCAAGTCGTTACCAAAAATTAAAATTCCAAAAACGCAAAAAGGAACGAAAGAAATAGGCCCGTGCCACGCTCCACATCCCTTCCCGACCCAAATCCCCAAACACCGTCTCCGTGGACTCTCAGTTCAGAAATTATTAGAGAGCGTTTGGCACTTTTTGACTTGTAAGTTTTTAGAATTAAAATTAAATTTAAAAAGTTTAAACATTGACAGCAGATTAAACACTTAAAAAAATAATTTATAAAAAAAAAAATTTCCTTCATTATAAATCTGTGTTAATATCCTCAAAATACCTTTATGTTACACTTAAATTATGTTAAATAATAACCTTTACAAGTTAAAAGTTTTGAGAACCCGATAAACCCAAAAATCAGGCTGTCGAACGGAACCTCAGAATCCTTGGGCCTCTCTCTCTCTCTCTCTCTCTCTCTCTCTCTCTCTCTCTTCCCGTTTTTCCGTTATTGGGACACCCCCACGTGGCGGTCATGTCAGTGTGGGCCCCGCATCCCAAGGCCCTTTGGTATGGCTGCACTTGATGGCTCTCTGCTCCAGGCCTTCCTCTCTCCCTATCTCCCACTCTCTGCTTTATTCCGGCTAGAGGTGTCAGATTCCGGCCAATGATGTAAGGCCCGCCGGCAACTTTTCTGGCCTATATATACCCCACTTTCCCTCCCATCTAGCCCTACACTTCCCCTCGCATTGTCTCTCTGTAAAACACTAACACAAACACCCATCAAATAGCGACACCACTCACCACCAGGCATTCACGTTGTTATACTAATATTAGCTACAAAGATCGGTATACAAATACTGAAACACATTACAGAACATATGTGTGGAGAGAGAAGGTTTGGTTGGGGAGAGACAGGGAGGTGGGTTAGGCGTGAAAGCTTACAAAAATAGCCTAATCCTCCAGCGGGCACCGCCTTGAACTTTCTGTAAAAGCAGTACACGCATCACACGACAGCTACCCCATTCTCTCTCTCTCTCTCTCTCTCTCTCTAGATTCTTTGCTGATGAACACTGCTTTATCAGAGATGCTTCACAGCCTCACGTCGTCAGGAAATCCCACCGGAAACGTTACAGACGCCAGCATGCTGGAGAGGCGGCGGGCTCAAACGAAGTGGCAACAAGAGCAGCTGCAGCAGCAACAACGTTACTTAGAGGAAACAGACTTGGGCGCCGTCTTTTCCGGACCGCAGTTTCAGGGATTTGCCGGAGGCGAGGCGGGTTTTAGTGGGTTCGTGAACCATTCCTCGAAGGTCGTCCCCGGATTGGACAATGGATGGCCGGAATTAGGGAATTTCGCCGGCGGCGGGGGGCCCGTCGGCTGTGGGTTTGGAATAAACTCCGGAATCTCGAGAACCACCAGCTACCCACCGGTCGTGGAGGCGTCAACGCCCGCCGTGGCTGAAGCGAAACAGATCTTGTCTGTTCTGACGGAGAAGACAAGTTCTAGCGGTGGGAGGGAAGGCTCGAAGAAGAGGAAAGCTGACAAGAACCAGAACATAAAGGTGTGTCTGTATTTGATTCTCTCTCTCTAGCATTATTTCGTTCTGTTTTTCTCCGCTTCAAACCAGAATAAACACTACCTTGTGGGTCTGCGAAATCGGTGTATGGGAACTGATAAAATCATAACTGTTGGCTTCGTCTTTAGGCAATAGCAGAAGAAGATGCCAAGCAAAAGAGGGTCAAGGAATGCCCTGAAGCGGGAGAGTCGAAGACCGAGCAAAATAGCAACAGCAGCAAGAGCAACACCAGAGCCGTCGGCCCCGGCGCGGCTAAGAGAGAAGTTTCGGGCAAAGCTTCAAAGGAGAATTCGAGGGTCACCGAGGTAAAAAAGCCCGATTACATCCATGTCCGAGCTCGCCGAGGCCAGGCCACTGACAGCCATAGCTTGGCTGAAAGGGTAAGTGGACCTCTTTATTTTATTTGGAATGCATTTGGATTTTTAAGTGATCTTTATGTGAAATTTCTGTGAAATTTTGCAGGTGAGGAGAGAGAAAATAAGTGAAAGAATGAAGTTTCTGCAAGAATTGGTACCGGGCTGCAGTAAGATCACAGGGAAGGCTGGAATGCTCGACGAAATTATCAACTATGTGCAGTCCCTTCAGAGACAAGTTGAGGTAGCTAAGCAACCGGGTTGAATGTTAATAAGCCTTTTAAAGTAATCAATTCACGACAAATTCATGTTTATATGGAAATATCTCTGTCTTTGAAACATTTAATACTTAATTTAATCTCAAAATAAGGTTAGCCTTGTCAATTTTTAACTCAATGAAATCTTGTTCTGCCGTCTTTTGGTTCCTTCCTGACTTTGAATTGTGGTTGTTTCTTGCTATGTTTGCTTTCGTTATAGTAATTATGGGTTTGGATCGTGTCGTCTCATTTCTTATAATTGTTGGGCTAATGCCGTACAGATTCTTTTTGTCCTTTTCAAATTATTACCTGGACATTACTCTGGCTAATGTATTTTCATTTTCGCAAAGCTTGTTTATTCTCTCATGTACTGCACAGATATATAATCTGCTAATCTTCCTCTGACCTCCTGTCATTTACCCAAACAGTTCTTGTCCATGAAACTGGCTGCAGTGGATCCAACTCTTGACTTCAATATTGATGACATCTTGGTTAAAGAGGTAAAAAGTTTGCGCACAGAGGGAAAAAGCAATCGATAAAATATTTTCTTTTGCTACTGAACGTCTCTTGCCCTATTGAGCAGGTTTTTCCAGCATGCCAATCCAATTTTCCCTTGAAGTGTCTTCAGAAATGATCAACCCTGTCTTTCTCCAGTCCAATCCAGTACAACAAACATTTTCATCTTCATGTAATGGGTTGGAAATGGCTATGGAAGCTCCTGATTTAACATTCAGAAGAACCATCTGTGCTCCTGTTTCGATGCACGAATCCTTTATCGATTCGTCGTGTTTCAATGTAATTTCTCAACGTTATGTCTAGTTTGAGGTTGAAGGGCTTTTTATATATAGTGGGTTTTTGTAGTAATTCTTTTGCCCATATAATAAAAATAAAAAACTGCTTTTTAAAGCTTTCATTAATTGATTTCTTTTGGATAAAATAACTTATTCTATTGAGCTTTTGCAAACCAAAGATCACTCACAATTAGAATTTACCTTCTGAAACTGCTTGTTATAGCTGGATTTTCTCACAGAAGTTGGTCACTTTGCAGTATATTCAAGCATCATCAACTTGGGATACCAGTTTACAGAGCGTATATGGAGTTAACCCGTTTCCTTCCCTGCAATTGACAGGTAAACGGGGCCGAGAAGTCCTCTACCATGTCAATGTTCAGTTAGTTGTTTGCGATAATTGTACGGGTATATAGAAGGTGGGAAATGGAGCGAAGTGGATATGACTGAGCATGACAAAGACCAACCATGGAGAACCCCACCATCCCGCTCAGGAATAAATGGGGTCCTCTTTAAGTCACATCAAGGAAGATGATAATTGGTTATCTTTCCTTTTCTTTGTTTTCCACCTACAATGACCATAAATTGCCAAAACCATTCTTCCAAAGCAAAAAGTGCATAACATAAATTCCTCCATTTTTGGCAATTAAGGTTTCTTAGTAACCTTAAATAAGCTCAGGGTTTATCTGATAATTGCTTAGGAGTTATTTGGTTTTACTTTTCAAATAAAGTTCTTTTCTTTTTGAAAAACAAAAAAGCCCTACAAGTAAGATGTATGGTTTCTTTCGAAAGAAGCACAACTTTTGGCTTAGACAGCCAAAAAGCCCAAACAAAACCTTGATCTGGGAATTTAAAAAGCCCAATGAAATTCAGGATTTCAATTCTTTGGGGGCTAAAAGCCCCAAGGACCAAACATACCTAAACTTTTAGGCTTTTGATGAGGGGGGAAACCAAACAACCAATATTTCCCTCCACCTAGCCATTGGTTTCACCCACCTTGAGGAGAAGGCAAGTTGATTAGCTTGACTTCTTCTGCATGCCAAAGGGATATGAACTAATCATGATTGGTGAGCTTTTCTTTTTGGTAGAACAAGAAAAGTGCTCATCTGAAATAAAACAAAACCTGTTTTGACATTATCAGCATCCATCGAACTACTTCGTCGCAATACTACTAAACTTTCTCTGAACAAAATTTTCTTTGTAACTGCTGAATCTGAAAAACAGGGCTCATCTCTTTTGCAGGTTCCAACGAAGTCAGCAATATGAAGATGGAAATGTGAGCAAGGATTAATATAGAGCCATACTATGTGATTGAATCCAATCCAATTGCCATTTTTATTTTTTTCAGATTCCTTTTTCCCCCCATTGCCAACGTGAGTGTATAATTGTACATACATATTATATACTAGACCCCAAAAATAATAATAGCTTCTGCCAGTTTCAGTCTTCCTGATTTCTTTTCTAATGGCACAACCATGTTAAATTGTGGTAGCGTATGATATGGTAGAATAAGTTTTGATAGAATAAAAATTAGGAAAGAAAAAAGAAATGGAATGAAATGAAAATCTTTGTGGGAATGTTTCGTATACATTAATTAAATGAAAACATATTTTATTATTATATTTGATATATTGAAATAGAAGTAAGAAATGAAATAAAAAAATTATTTGGAAGCAAACATATCCTTTATTAAAAGGTTTCAAAACTTTAAATAAGTTTTAATTACTAGTTTTATTATAAACATATTAAAAGTTAGATTTTTAAATTATATATTCTAACCTTAAAATAAATTTTGATATTTGTATCATAAGTTTTTCAATTACGAAAAAAAAGTAATATGATAATTACCAAATCAAGTGATTAAACTCTGATTTTCAGAGAATAAGAATACTCATTTCAAACACTTACCAAACATATTTTTTTCAAAATTTTTGTTCTTATTCTTATTCTTATTTTTGTTCTTTTAACAAAATTTTATTATATAATATCTCACCTATATTTGAATGACAAGTTGAAATGGTTTAGAAAGAGAGGGGGGGGGGGGGATAGCAAGTTAAAGGATTCGGGTCTGGTCCATCTCAATTTAAGCTCATCTTGATTTATTTTATCCTTTAGATTTTCTTAAAAAGATATGTATTTAAATTTTAGTACCATAACATAAAAATTCTGACTCTTTTATTGAAAAACGAATAATTCATGTCAAAAAAAGGGGAAATGAAAGGACACCCCATTACAGGGACCACTTTCATATTCATGAATTGGGTCTCTTCATTTGATAGTTTGAAATAGAATAATTTTGAACTGTTTTGATTTTTTAAAAATTAGTACGATGACTTCTAATTCAAAAAAAAAAAAAAATCAAGTATTTAATGTTGGAGTTATATTATTATATTTATTATAAATTTTCAATTATCTAATATATGTATATATCTAATATTATAGTAATTATCATATTATTCTAGATATGCTCGTATATCAAAGATTTTATCTCTTATTACATTAAGGTTTATTACGTTGATGGGAATGTGTTTATAAAGATGTGTTAAGAGTTCCTAAACTCAAGGGTGTCAAGTAGTACACACTACCAATGAGTCTTTAAAAGCTTAAAAGCGCTTTTACGATCCTCGTATCTAAATACGTGGATTATGAGCTTTCATTTACAAACACGACTATTGTTTTTTTTTTTATCAATAGTGAAAAATATATATAATCTTATTCTGCATATCATTATTTAGGGCTTTTAGCATTAAATTGATTTTATATATCAATTTGCTTGAATATAATGTTATAAATTAACTGTCATTTGGTATTAGAGTGTTTAACCTCTGCCTTGATAAATAAGTTGTGTTTATACATGTATACACACAAATATATGTAGAACTATATTCATATGCATGTTATGTGTTTATCCTTACGATGGAGACTATTTTTGGTCGGTGGAATTGCTTATGTTGGCTTTTGGTTAGATTCTTATCATTTTTTTTGGAAATTTATACATTGTATTTATATGTATGTTTATAATAATGATCAATTGTTTTGGGATTTCATGATTGGAAACCTTCAGATGTGGAGTTATATGTTGCTATTTGGGTATCCGTTTCTATCAATTCAGTCTCTGGATTTTGGTTTTTGATTCAATTGATCAAACTATGGTTTGAATTGAGTTTCAGGCCAAGACATTTGCCGTTAATGGCGAATTGAAGCTTTGGCTGATTGGGTTTCTAAGTCTCTTGGAATCTTTTGGTTTCGATTTTCTCATTGGGAGTTTTGTGGCCATCGAGATCTTCTCGGCCGATCTAGGACAACAATCGAGGATCTTCATAGCCATTACCATTCAGTGAGGAAGGGTAGTTGCTAGCATCAGCCTTTGAGTGAATATGGTAGCCATGGAATTTAGGGTTTTAGGAGGACAAGGACAACATGCGTGAGTTGCACCCGCAAGTTAAAAAAAAAAAATTGGAGCATGTGGCTACATGTGCGAGTTTGGTTGAGATTCTAAAACCAAACCTGAACCGATTCAAATCTAGACGCGCGCCTCAACCCACAAACCCTCAACCTTAATTGAATATGCCTATCTCATCCTGGACCAGTGCCTGCACCCAACCTATGCATCTTGACCTATATATTGACCTCAATTGCGTGGTTAACTCAAATCGCATTGACCCGTGACCCAATTTATCTAGTTTTTATTTTTTAAAAGAAATTGTTAATTAAAAAAGGAAACATATTTCTAAATAAAAATAAATAAACATTTTTTGTTTATATTCCTTTTGATCATGTTTTTAGGTTTATTTATTTTATTGGAATTATGTTTGGAATTCTTGATTGTATATATGGATTGTGAGAAATGATGTATCATTTTAACTTAAAATTTTTCAAATTTTGAAAACAATTTTTCATATATATATATATATGTATGTACGTATGTATGTATATGAGATTTCATTAGTTGATAATTTATCATATATTTTTATACATATATGTTTATATGCATATGAGAGAGAACTAATATGAGTTACTTTTGGAACGTAACTCTTGACAATTTTGATGTTATGTGATCGTTGCAATTTTGATTAATTTAAGATTAGCTACAGTATCACGAAGTTATGATAAATTGTACATTAAAGTCACTTATGGTTATTAACATCAAATTATGATTAATCATAATTAATGTAATAATCTTATTCATTAGGAATTTCATTGTAGTTGTATGATTAATTAGGATGAAATAATGGATTGTTTTCTTAATTTTCTCACAGGGATTAAAGGTTATCAATGTGTTAGTTTTATCACATAAAGTGAAATGTAAATTTCCAAATAAAACTTATCTCATAGGTAGTTTTGTTGTATTAATTTATATTCGAATTAGCATGTTTATATCGGTAAAATATGTTTTTTTACTTCTTTATAATTGATGAGCATATGTATTATCTTGCAACACCTTTGAATTACTCTCATTTTAAAATTGATATTCCTAAATTAACTGGTAACAACTAAAAAGAGGATTTTCCTTCAATTAGGGTGCATGCATATTGATCTTACTGCAAGGAAAAGTGAACCACATATCCCTATAGATATTAACACTCAGAAAGAGCTAACGCTCTTATGAACAATGAGAGCGGTCTAATCATTTGTTCATGATGTACATTATGATACGTATATCAGCTAGCATATGTGGGTTCATTGGCAAGGAAGTCAATGTGAATGATCTCTTGAAGGTTATTGATAAGTAGTTTGAGTCTTCAGATGAAGTTATTGCTAACACCCTTATGACAAGTTGTCAATCATGAGGCTCACTGGAATTAAGGGTGTGCATGAGTACATCATGAAGATGGGGGATGTTGTA